GAAGGAAACACTGCCTGGTCCTGCACCATCCTCACAGCTGTTTCTATGCCTGAGCCCATTGACGCAGCGGCTGTGTCGGTTCCTTTTGCTGAGGGATTTACTCCTCTTTGCTACCCTCCACTTCACTGAACACGCTGTCCTTCTCCAGAGACTGGTCTCTCCTGACAGTATGTCCAAAGATGTAAGATGAAGTCTTGCCATCCTGGCCTCCAAGGAGTACTCTCGCTTTACTTTCTTCTTCCAGTACAAATTGGTTTGTCATTGCAGCAGTCCGTGATACTTTCGATATTCTTCTCCAGCTCCGCAATTCAAATGCACCAGTTCTTCTGTGGTCTTCCTTCTTCGGGGTCCAACTTCACATGCATATGATGCAATGGAGACTACCATGGCTTGGGTCAGGCTCTTGTTAGTCCTCAAAACAATATCCTTGCTCTTCAGTAGTCTTGCTCTTCAAGAGTTCTTGTCCAGGAGATTTGCCTAATGCGTTATGTCTCTTTAACTCTTAATTGCTGCTTCCATGATCATTGGTTGTGGATCCAATAAGACAAAGTCCTTGACAACTTCAATGTTTTCTTTATTTTTCATGATACTACCTATTGGTACACTTGTAAAGATTTTAGTCTTCCTTACACAGAGTTGTAATCCATTCTGCTGGCTACAATCCTTGATCTTCATCAGCAAGTGCTTCAAATCCTCCTCACTTTCAGCAAGCAAGTATTGTGTCATCATATCACTTGCTTTTCCATAATTTTTCTCTCTATGTTATGTTACATTAGTCCCAAAGTAATGGAGAATTTAGTTTTAACTGACCATATTATTGGGGGCTCTTACAACTCTTTAATCATTTTATTGGGGGCTCTTACAGCTCTTCTAACATTTCATACATCAATTGTATCGAGCATATTTGTACATATGTTGCTATCATCATTTCCAAGACCATATTTTTGTGAACACACTTTTGTATGTTGTTCTTTCAAAGTTTATAATTTACCTAAAATGTAACTGGAGCCAATATATCTATTGGCATCTATGTTGGCCAAATAAACAAATGGATGAATGAATGAATGATGCCCTCATGTATGAGAGGGTATAAAAAAACAAAGGGAAAAAATCCGCTGGGTGGATCTTTCATAGTACACATTTTTCCCACTAGGCAAGCATCAAGCAGCTCTCTCTGAGTTAGTGCACTTGGTGGCATCACCTGGGAAGGTTCTCTCTGGTCACGGTGAATTTTTTTCATAAAAGCAGCTTTGCTCGAACCTCGTTTTTTGTGATGACCGATTTAAGAGAACAGCATGCAGCTATGAAATTTTGTTTCCTGCTCAGGAAAAATGCCACAGAAACTGTTGTGATGTTGGACACAGCTTACAAGGGCAGTGCTATGGGAAAAATTCATGTACAAGTGATTTTCTCATTTCAAAAATGGTGAAATGTCTATTGATGACAAACCTTGTTCTGGACATCCATCAACTTTCTGAATGGATGAAAATGTCAACAAAATTAATGCACTTGTGTCCTAAGACTGATGACAGACTAGTGAAGGGATAGGGAAGTTACCTGGACTATCTTGGAGCTCGCTTCAGTGAATTTTATGGAAGATTTTGGAATGACAAGGGTCACTGTGAAATTTGTGTCTCGGGTTCTGACTGACCAGGAAAAAGAGCATCAACTGGAAACATGCCATCCTTTAAAAGAACAGCTCTGAAGCGACCCAGACTTTTTTCCAAGGTCATTACTGGTGATAAGACATGGTGCTTATTCTTATAACCCCAAAAGCAAACATCAATCAAGTCAGTGGAAGATGCCATCTTCAACTCACCCAAAACTAGCTCATCAAGTGAAATCAAAGATCAAGATGGTGCTCATTTGTTTTCTTGATGTGAGGGGGATAGTGCATTTGGAGTTCATTTCACTAGGTTAGACTATTAATCAAGCTTTCTATTCAGAGGTTCTGAAAAGATTGCATAATTGTATGAGACAAAAAAGGTCTGATTTGTGGCAGATAGGGGACTGGTTTTTCCACCACAACAATGCGCTTGCTCATGCAGCCATCTCAGTGTGCCAGTTTGGGGCCAAAACAGCATGCCTCTCTTGCCCCACACACCTTACTCACCTGCCTTTGCTCCATGTGACTTCTTTTTGTTTTCACCAATGAAAAGGGACATGAAAAGATAGTGAGTTGATGAGTAGAAGAGGAAGAAAAAACAAGGGAGGTGCTGCCAGCCATCCAAACAGATGCATTTGAAAGATGTTTCCAAGAATGTAATCTCAGATTTGACAAATGTCTTAAGTATAATGGAGAGTATTTTGAAAGTGATAAGGTTGTTTTGTAAAAATATTTGAATACATAGCTTTAAAAAAAATCCACTTTGGGGGCAGGGGGGGTGGATACCTCCTAGTATGTATACTTGTATGATCCCACAAGGACATGGTTGTTGAAGAGAAGAAGAACATGGCCTCTAATTGTAGGTGTGTGTGTGTGGGGGGGGGGGACTATAATTGCCAGGGTCTGAAATTCAGACACCTCTCTCTTTTGGTTCACTCAGGAGGCTATTACTTGACTAGTGCCTACGGAGCACTTTCACTGATCAAGAATTTCCAGGAAGAACAGGCAGCACGGCTGCTCAGCTCAGAGACCAGAGATACCCTGCGGCAGTGGCACAAACGGAGGACCACCAACCGAACCATCCCTTCTGTGGACGACTTTCAGGTAAAGAGCTGGGAGCAAGGGTGTGCACGTTGTGACCTTTTATGCCCAGAACCCAGGGCTGGCATCCACAGCAGAACCAGGGACCCACTAGGACTCCTTTGTTGGGTCCTCCAGCAGAAACGGTTATTTTAAATCACCCTCTGCCCTTGTAGCTTCAGTTCTCTGTTTTATTGTCAATATATAACTTTGCCCCAGATTCAAATGAAGGCAGAATTTGGTCTTTTAGTCCATCGGGAGATGACATGTGTAAAGGAGATGGGTCAAGGGAAGGCAGCAGAAATTATGTGCTGCCATCATCCTTGTCTCTTTGAGATGAGGGAGGTGCAAAGATGACTTCCCCTCTTTCCTTCCCTTTTCTTTCCCCCACCCCAAGGAGGAGATCTCAGAATTGAAGTTGCTAATTCAAGAAGCCAGGCCTAGGAATTTGAGAGGGGGCCAAGTCCTGTCTAGGTTCTCAGATTGACAATTATCATAACTGAACCAGAGCTGGAAGCCAAGAATGTGGGATTCCCATTTGTTTCTTAGAGAAGAGTGTTGGCTGAGGGTTAGAGCAATCTTTATTAAACACAACAAATCTTGTCTGCTCACAATCTATAAAAGTATGTGTGAATCTGCACATATCTTCAGATAATGCTTTGAGGTTTTACACTGAGCCACTAGACCACCTGTGTTTTGGTGTGTGTGCCACATGATTGGGCTTACGGAATTCTGATCTTAAGAGTTTTATTAAAAAGGGTGTTAGATTTTATCAAATGTTTTTTCTACACTCATGCATATGGTCTTGTGGTTTTTTTCTTTGTCATCCCAGTGCACCCCAGGTGACCTCAGGGGGCTTGGGCAGAAATCAGCGCCTCTTTCATTCCTGAGGAGGGTGTAAAGCAGGTCACAAAAACATGATTTGACTTTAATCTAAAATTAAAATTTAACTTGGCAGCTTATATTTTATCTGGTAACCCTATCCTAAGGGTACTGGAGATTGAAACAGTTGAAACAAGTTACCCAGGATCACAAAACCTACAAGAGTACATATTTTGGTATACGTTTAGGATTATGTGAGCCAGTCTAGAGTGTGTGTGTGTTTATTCTACTTCATGACAGCAAACACCCAGCACTATTTCAGTGTTCAAAATGTAGACATCTCTTTTTACTTCCTCACATATCTGATTTTTCCATTTGCCCCCTGGAATCGTATATCTGGTTAAATCAGATGACATTGCTATTTTGGAAGGTCAAAATGATTGCTATTGCTGATGCTTCATACAAAAGTGTTCCCAAAGGAAGTGCAATACATGTGGTTGTATCGACTTATGTTAAAGGATCAGCAGAAATGAATAAAACCAGCATTGCATCTGATTCATACTCTAAACCAGAGATTTCTTCATCCATCAGCATGGTCAGAACAAGGGCTGAGTAGGCTTTCTGTTTTGATATTTGGAATCAGTTGACATGTAATGTCATCCACCCCACTGACCAAAATGAGGTCAGTTCCTTTCCCTTGTCTTTCAAGTCCTCGTGGACTTGAAAGCCACAGTGGCTTACAATGGTGAGGAAGCTTATAGGCTAGACCTTTTATTGCATCTCAACATGCCCATTAACTAGTCCCACTGGGTTTCTCTAGGAGCCCTGGTAGTGTAGTGGGGTACACATTGGGTTGCTAACTATGAAGTTAGCAGTTCAAAACCTCCAGGGGCTCTGCAGGAGAAAGATGAGACTTTCTACTCCTGTAAAGAGTTGAGGTCTCGGAAACCCACAGGTGAAGTTCTACTCTATGATACATGGTTGCTATGAGTCGGAATCAATGAGATGGCCATGAGTTCACGGGAGCTGTGGGTTTCCGTGGGTGCTTCTTGGTCACCAGCATCTCTCTTTCCGCCCTGCAGAATTATCTCCGAGTTGCATTCCAGGATGTCAGCAGTGGCTGCACAGGAAAGACTCTCTTGGTAAGACCTTATATCACCACAGAAGATGTGTGCCAGCTCTGTGCTGAGAAGTTCAAGGTGAGGGACCCTGAGGAGTTCAGCCTCTTTCTCTTCGTTGATGAAACTTGGCAGCAGCTGGCGGAAGACACCTACCCTCAAAAAATCAAGGCTGAGCTGCATAGCCGACCACAGCCCCACATCTTCCACTTTGTGTACAAGCGCGTCAAGAACCACCCCTATGGTGTCATCTTCCACAATGGTGAAGAAGACCTCACCACTGCCTAGAAGCTAGGAGGGACTTGGCAGCAACATAGCCAAAAGGAGTTTGGACTGTTGCCTTCTGGCTTGCAAGTGCTTCTGCTTGAACAGCTCTGGGGGACTTTACAGTTCAGTGGCTGTGTCATGCAGGAGAGCCTTTGGCCAAAGGCATCTTCAAACACCTTGAGGCACATTGCCCTGGCAAGGCAGCTGAGGCTCAAGAAGCAGTCCAGTACTCACTTTGTGATGGAGAATTGCATTTGATGATTCACGTGTTCTGAGACTGTTTACTACCTACCGCAAGCCAGATTCTGTATTGGCTTCCAAAACACTCACTCTCTTCCAATCAATTCTGATTTATAGGAACCCTGTGGGACAGATTAGAACCACCCCTGTGGGTTTCCAAGACTGTAAATCTTTAAGGAAGTAGAAAGCTTCCTCTTTTGCCCATGGAGCAGCTCATGGTTTTGAACTGCTAACCATATGGTTAGCAGCCCACTATGCCACCAGGGCTCCTTGTGTTGGCTTAGACGTATGTACATGGGTGTTGAATAAACGTTGTAAGGTGTAAGCTCTCCTCTTGACCTCACTAGCAGGTGTTTGACAAGACTGTCCGATGCAGTGCGTCTGGTACTTCTCTCAGCTCTGTGGATGACTCCACCCTTTTCCTTTTCTTTTGTACTTTCTCTTTGTTTTCACAAAGAGCCTTTGTGTTTTTATATATTTCATGAAAATTTTTATAACAGTTGCAGGTAAACTGTCAGGATTGATTTTTTTAAATATTTTTGTAGCTTTAAAATATTCTATAATTATGCATGTGATTTTAACATTTAATATTCAAAATAAATCTAATACTAGATTTGAAAGTATTGCTTCTGGAGAGTCTCTCTTCTGTAGCCGGATGTTTGGGCAACTTTGTAGAAAGAGGCTGCTGCAAGGTAATACTGACACGGGCCACGACGCCTTCACAAATCAGATCTGTTCTCATCTCAGGCATGTGGCGTTGGGTTGTGCCGTTTTATTTTGTTTAACTGGTGACACTGAAAATAAGGAGAGAAGTGGATGGAGATGGAGCTTGAGAGAGCATATACAGACTCAGAGAAAGGACTGAGGAATACAGTCTGCTGGGCCAGGCTGTTTGGAGGAAGTGGGAAAAGGAGATTGAAGGAAACACATATGCTTCAAATGTGTACTGTAAATTTATAATGACATTTGGCAAAATTTGTCCCATATGTTTCTTGCTGTTGGAAAAAAACTTGAAAATCCCATGAGGAAAAAAGGTAAATGTTAACTCCCCACCACACCCACCATCAGTAAATAAACAATACCCACCCCCAACAAATCCAGACCCACAGCATCAGATAGGGACAGAAACCAAGTGATGTGTAATGTGGCTTTCATTGAGTTAAATAAAATACTGTTGGGGAAAGAGTTTGGAAAGGCACAAAAAAGCCCATCTGACTTATAGGAATGTATGGGGAAGTTCAATTTGCATGTTTTATAAAACTTATGGGTGCACAGACTATGAGGGCCTTCAATTAATGTAACATAGGTAATTACAAAACCATGTTATACTATGTAAAGATGTATCATCATCTACTTTGGTTGACTTTGTACCTTGTACCTTTTTTAGCCTGGGCTTTGCTATACTTCTAGAATTCTCAGTATATACCATGTATACTTCCTTTTGTAAACAACTTTTTCAATGGAACTTTGCACATAGTACTTTGTAATATTGTATGATAATCATATATGAAATAATTTTTGAAACATTCCTGAGTTGTTGGTTTTTTCCTTTTAGAACCAAGCATATAGTTATGCAAGACACCCACGTACAATACCACATACATATGAAATCTCAGCCAATGTTTGTGGTTAGAAAATGCATAGAAAGTAAACAAAAGAGCTCACTCTTTGGGGCCGTTTGTATACTGACTGATATGGGGCAAGGAGGAGAAGCTCATCTTACTTGAAAAGGACTGCCAGCGTGTCTGGAATAGTGGTTGGTTTTGCTGGACCTGGAATAAGTCACAGCTGGTGTGATCACAAAGTTAGCTGTGGCTCTGCAGACACCATCCCCCCACCCCCACCCCGCCCCTTGTCCCTAGTAGCCCATGCCGCGCTCTGGCTGAGGGTTCAGAGCTTTTCCTACATCAGCAAAGGGCATTACTCATCATCAGAGGCATTGATAACATGGAGAATATCTCTATGTTTGCAACTAGTTCTTTGACTTGGCAGTCCTCTGTTCTTTGTCATCATCAAACATGGCTCTGGAGGAAATTACAAGAGAGAACATTATGAAGAATTTCTAGCAGCTTAAATTTAGGATTCACCGTTTTGAATATTTACTCTGTGCCCTGAAAAACCCGTCATCCACAAGACACTAACATCTTGGGCGATTCTCTGGATTGCAATCCCCATTCTGAATATTTCTCCTTGGCAGTCGCGTTGGTAGCCTGTAAAACCTTACAACTGGGGTACACATTTTGGAGGAGACCATCACATGACAAAGTAATAATGGAAGATGTTAACGGCAGTTTAGTACCAATTGAGACTTCCCCCCCCCCTCCTACTTCAATCAGATTAAAAGATTACAAGAAGGAAATAATAAAGAAAAACATGAAAGTTTTCTGAATGAAGCATTGTATGCTATGAGCAAATTATCTCAGATGTATCACCCACAAACTTCTTTCCTTTATGGGGACTGTGACCTCCTACTCAGTGAAGGATTAGACAGTCACAAAAATTTGATGGTTGTAGAGGCTAATGTAACAGCATAAACAAGAGCTTAAAATGTAATACAGGGAAGCATATATATCTGAAAATATAAGGCCAATAGAGGGCAGAAGCTTTGTCTCCTTCCCTGCCGCAGTCCTGGTACTTGAGAGCCTGCCTGGCACATAGTAAGTTCTCAGTAAGCACCTGCTGATGAAATGAAGGAAATCATAAGTTCATAAAGGCTTCCCAGCCTATTGTTAAGATGGATAGTTAAAGATCAGAATGAGAGAGACTTAAAGATCAGAATAATAAAAGACAACAGTTCAATGCATACAGTTGCCCTCTCTCCCACAGCTCCAAACTAAGACTCTTAAATTCAACCTTGTACTTGGGAGTCAGCACATGCTTGATTGAAAGCAGGCCCGAACACCTCTGTGTAAGGCAGCCTGTGCAGCCATCAGAGGAGCCGAATAGGAAACGTGGAGCGAGCTCAGGAAAACATCACAAGACGGCCCCTGGGCCAGCATCAGGCCATGCTGCCCTGTTAAAATTACACCACCACATGGGTCTTCACTTTTTCCCCCACGCAGACATTTCTCACTTCCCAAATTGCCAGGAAACAGACTTCAGGGAAGTTTGGAAGGACCAGAAGAAGTGTAAAAATATGCATACTGGGTGGAAGAAAAAAAAAAGTATTTCCAAAAATAAAAATAGGGTATAAAAGTTGAATGCTGGCCAGAGGGAGGAGTTTATTCAATGCTGCATGCACTGCCAAATAATCCCCCCAGGGACACAGACTGGAAATAGAAACTGTTTGAGGTTATGTGGAAGTTACAACTTTATGTCTATAAGAAAACAAGAAAGATAGGAAGCCTCATGAATGCTTTCATTCACAAATGTTGCTTCGCCGCCATTGGGCATCTTTGACTGTTACCAGCACTACCAGCTACTCTCCAGAAGCCAGAGAAAGGATTCAGGAGAGACTCTGAAGAGAACCCACACCTGGGACTTGCGTAATGTAACTGTCAAGCAGTATCACAGTAAAATCCTATCATAAACTTTCCAACCATCTGAAAGATGGTAAATTTGTAACTAAAGTGTTGTCATTTAGCGAACCCTAGTCAACTGAAGGTACCCTGGTGGCCCGCTGGATTAAGCATCAGGCTACTAACCTCAAGGTAGGTGGTTCAAACCCATTAGCTGCTCCACAGGAGAAAGATGAGGCTGTCAATTCCTTTAAAGATTTAAGGTCTCAAAAACCCAAAGGAGCAGTTCTACTCTGTTCTACGAGGTTGCTATGAATTGGATTAGACCTGAGAGCAGGGGGCTTGGGGCGAATCAACTTGGAAGGAGCCCTGCTGGTAGAGTGTTTAAGTGCCAGGATGCGAGTTGAAAAATTGGCAGTTAGAGCCACTACTGTTCAGTAAGAGAAAGATGTGGGTAACTCTGTGAGGCAGTTCTCTAGCCAACAGGGTACTTTGATACAGAGTGGCACATTGACGATTTGGGTTTGGTTTTGGTAATCAATTTGGAAGTAATAAAAAATTCATATAATATTGCAGAACCATAAGCAGATCAAAGATAGAAGGAAAGAAAGAAAAGAGATAGAAAAGGATATATATAAATACATATATTTAGGTATTTGTATATACATTTATATAATGTAATAGAATAATTCTTAAAATCATTGATTTATCATAGAGAATTTAATATTATTAAATTACTATATCTTTGATGTCCATGCTTCCAGTTTCTTATTAACTCTACAAAGTATGAAAGGATGTAATAATTTATCAGATTGCAATTTCAGTCAATTATATCTTTCTCATTCTTATTTATTTTTTGAAGTCTATTGATATATAATTGCATCTATGATGAAAAGGGGAAATTTACAAAGAAAGATAGACCACCAAACCCTCAAATCAATCAGAAGTGAGACCGTAAGTAAGCCACTTAGGACATTGGGAAGCTTCTGGTTTTTACTACTACATAAACAAGGCTTCATCAATTGAAACATTCCATTTACCACATAGTTTTAAGTTTGGCTACTTAAAATATAGTCCACAGACCAGCAGCTTTACCATCTCCTGGGAGTTTGGTGGAAATGCTGAATTGCAAGTCCTCTTCCAGACCTACTGGATTTGAGTCTGCAATTTAGCGAGATCTCCAGATGATTACAATTTGAGAAACATTACTTCAAAGCACATTTGGGAGCAATGGTATTTTAATAGCTAATACAAATAAACAAATGTTCACATGCAATTGTTATCATTTTGAAATGAAGGAAATAGCTTGTGATTTTAAAAAATCTATTTGTGATTCTTTTTTAAAAAAAATATCTACAAACGACCTACAAAGACTTTAAATGCAGAGCCCAGGAAAACAAGTTTACATCCCCTTCCACTGGATTCTTCTTGCTTTGATAGGGAAAAGAGGCTTGGAGGAAATGAGAACAAAACTGCAAAGAGGCTGAGATGAGGAAGACCGACTTCATGACCTTGCCAGGGTCATCTTGTACCTCCGGCCATGTGAGGACAAACAGAAGCTGAGTCAGGCGGTTCTGTCTGGCCCAGCTGCTTTGCTTTCGTCTGTGTAAAAATGCAAGAACAGCACCATGCAGTCTGTATGATTCGTCAACACTGTCAGCATATGGTGTAGGAAGTTTATGAGCTTGTTCGTTTAC